AATAGCCACACTGGAAAGCTGGAAAAGGGTGGAATTTGAGTGGATTGTAAGGAGATAGTGGACAAGATAGCAAAGAAAGATTGGAATGATAAATGGTTTGGCACATACTTGAAGACATCTCCATATTGTGCTGCTCTTTTGAGAAATGTTGTTTGTCTTTTGTTAAAAGGAATTTCAACTATGCAAGTCACACTTTGGCACTGTTTGTCACTAACTTTTGTAAAGAAACCTCTTGGAGGAACTTCTTCCCTGTCTAGCTGATGAATGTAGCCAGGGTCTGCGAGCAGTTGCTCAAACTTTTGTAACTAAAGTTTAGTAGATGTGAAATATATTGCTGCTTTTGAAAAAAAAAAAAAAAAGTACTCAACCTTAGACCATTCAACGAATTGTAAATATTAATAACTAAAGAAGATTAGCAGCTTATCAATACCATGAAAATGACATAAAAACATCCAATTGAGATGTAATAGAACCAAGTCACAATTGTATGTTCACTTACAATAATACAATTGTAAACAACACTAAATAAGATTAATAGCGGTCAAGATGGAAACAAAACACAATAAGTCAAGTTACATTCCCTTATTCAACAAACTCAATCAAGTTGATTTTTCATATTCAACAAACTAAAGATACTCAGCAATAAGTCCAACTTTTCTCTTCATCAACCTAGCACAACAACTTCAGAACATTTGCTCTTCATCAATCTCGAGATGTGATAATTCACTTGATAAAGCAACCTTGACATTTGATGCCAAAATAAAAGAAGAAGCTTGTCACCAAGCTATAGTCTATAACAAAAAATTGGAGAAAATCAATTTAGATAAATCAAATTTCTTTAATACCTATTCAGTAACACAATCAACATCATCTTCTTCATCAAACAATGTATTACATGATATCCTTTCGGAAGTAGAACAAGTAGCTTGCACTAAAATAAAAAAATAGCTACATATTATGTTAGAGATATACAATTATGTTATTAATTATATTATTAAATATAAAGAATTGGATTATAACTAATTTATTATATTGTGTATCTATTTGTATTATGTATACATCTATAAATTTAAATATATATAAGTTTTTTTGTATGCGTGGAATGGGCCGAGTGTATGTTGCCCTGCCTCGCCCTATTTCTACCCCTACTAGGTGGGTGCCCGCCCGTTGCGACCTTTAAATGTATATAAGATTTAAATGTAAAGATAATCATTCAATGTATAGAAGATTTAAATGTAAAGATTTAAATGATTACGTGTCAATATAATCATTCAAAATGAGATATAAATGTAACGTCTCAAGACGACGCTAAATATAGAAAAAGGACAATTTTTCGTTGGTGCCTGGTTAGAAAATTAAATTTTCTAATCTTTAATTTATAAAAGACGTAACGTAAACGTAACGTTTATACAAATGTCTATATTATCTTTATATAAGTAAACGTAACGTCTATATTATACAGTCGTTTAAATTATCTTTATATTAATGAGATATAAACATAATCATTAAACGAGATATAATCGTTAAAGATAAAAATAGAAAAAGAATAATTTTTCGTTGGTGCTTGGTTGGAAAATCAAAATTTCAAATCTTTAATGGAAAAAAAATCTTTAGTGGGAAATTAACCCTTTATAATTCAAATTTGGGACCAGTATAAATGCTAATAATCCAACTGTATAATGCATGTTCAGCTGGTTCATTTCCTATTGTTCATATCCTGTTAGCCACTAGAAAAATCTCTCTATTTCTTTCCATCACTCCTATCCAAAATACAATAATCTTTTTCCTGCCGCTACCGTCGAGGTGTGATCGGCGGCGGGGGCGGCGGCAACTTTCCGGTAAGGGTAGCTATTAAAAAGGGTAGCCGTTTGAATTTGTTTGTAAAGTTTTATGATACTTACGGGTTAAAGGTTATGCTTTCGTGACGATTTTTATACCTTTTGCTATTGGATTTGGGGGGGGGGGGGGGGGGGGGGGGGGGTTTGTTTTTCCTGTTTCCCTAAATTTTGTGACAAAGACAGGAAAAAAAAAAATCTGTGAGGGAGAATTGTGAAATTGGGGAATTTTTTTTGGTATTAACATTTTTTTAAGATTTATTTGTTTTCTGTGAAGCTTTTGTTTTGTTGAATTGGATTGTCATTTTGGTGAAGTTGATTAAGAAAATGCTGCGGGTTGTCTGTTTTTAGTTGTCTTGAACGGAATGAGAAAGGGTTTTTGCTTACTGCATTTTGGGCAGAATTAAAGTTTTCATTGATTAAGTTTATTAGCTTAAGCAATGGGAAATGGAGTCTTGATTAACAACTATGTATGGAAAACTAGCAATTTTAGCTCATTTGTTGAGTTTACGTATATCCCCTGATACTCTAATCAGTGAGCTGTGTGTTGTGTTTAATGATTTTGGTTGTTCACATTTTATATTGGGAGAAACCTTGAGAAAAATAGATCGAAATTAGGAATCCAGATTGTAGTTGAGTGGGTGGAATTCTGGTCTTTTGCTAACAAAAACTGTTCATGAAACTAAGAAATCTGTTTGCATTCCTTAAATTTATGTGGATGTCCCTATTTTCCACGTTGCTGACCGTGGAAGAATTTACAGGCTGTTTATTTTTTGGATTGCTTTGTATTTACCAGTTTCATTAGTGCTAAATTCACTTTGCTTTGATGAACATCATGTTGCACTTTTTTCCTGTTTGATTCTGAACATCAAGAAGGATCTAATGGGATTTTTCTACCCAAAATAATATTAGGGTTCTAACAGCGTCATGGCATCACCAGCATCACCCTGTAGATCTTTTATTTGGTATCTGTAGCTGCTTTTGGACCTTCTGCTGCGTTAGTATTGCTCTAAAGAGGAGAAAAGGGCCAAAAGGCCCATTTTTAGGAGATGGGAGGGGACAAAATTAGTGAGAGGACTTTGAGGTACAGAAGGAGGTCAACCATTGTTGTTGGAGCAAAGAAGCAGAGGTGCATCCCTAGAAAAAAGCAGAAGACTGAATACAGACCTTGGGCAGATCTTCACGAAGACATGTTGAGGATTATCAAGAGCAAGTTATGCCTTTCTGATCAAGTAAGGCTTAGTGCAGTTTGTAAAAGTTGGCAGCTTTCTGGGAGACCGCTGATGGCAATGGCCTATTTCTCTAAGCATTGCTATTCTGCAATCTCGCCGGATCCATGGGATGACTCATCTGATCGAGATGTTACCTTTGCATGCGAGATTTATGACTCTTGTGGTGGAAAGATTCACAAGGCTAGTTATAATATATCAGAAAGAGGTTGGCCTTCTTTTTTCTACCGATGGCCAGAGGTTTGTGCTTCCAAAGAGGGCTGGTTGCTTATAGTGGACTGTGCACACACTGCTGGAACTGTCACCTTTTGTAACCCTTTTTCCAACCTTGTTTTATCAGTACCCAGATTGGGACATCAGATAGATGTGGCAACTTTCTCTACAATCCCTACTTCGTCGAACTGCATAATCTTTGTTTTCTATCGTAGTTGGGGCAAGACACACCTTGGTACTTACCGTTTTGGTGATAAAAGTTGGACCAAACTAATAATTGCCGAGAGAAAAGCTGCAGCAGAAGTATTGAGCATGTTATACATCGAGGGGGTACTCTATTATGTTTTTGAGGATGGAATGTTGGGCTGCTTTAGTTATTCCGGGAAATATTGCAGTGTACTTACTGAAAGGTTTCCCAAACGCGATTCTAAAAGCTCCTTTGTTAGCTATCACCTGGTTGAACACAGGGAACAGATTCTCTTGGCAACCGCAGATGAGGACGCCAATTGGTGTATTTTCAGATATGATGAGTCTCAGATGAAATGGATTGCTGGGATAAGCTTAGGAAAGTGGGCATTATGCGTAAGTAGTAATTCGTTTGTAGTACAAGCTGTTGGGGATCAAGTTGACCTTGCAGACTGTATTTGCTACTTTGACTATGAAACCCATGATTTGAAGGTGTACTCGTTAAAGGATAAGCAATTGAAGGATCCGCAGCATAAAATACTGACATCTAGCGGTACTTTCGACCTCAAACATGACCTTACAATCTGGATTGAACCTCCTAATATTTGAAAGGGAATGACCATGTAAGCTTGCTAATATTTGGAAGGGACAGTTTAGTTGCTTTAGTTCTCATAGACAACAATTTGGTGGATCCTTATAAAATTTCAGTATCAAGCCCTTTGGTTGAGGATAATTTAAGAATTTTTCATTTACTATGGTGACTTTGTTATAAAATGGATATCCAGTACAGACTGAGGTGGGAATAGGATATTGCCTGCAAATGACTCAAAGCCATTTCGGTTTTCTCATTGCCAGAAACATGTGAAAGAGGGGATCTGATGTTTGTATTCAGGGGTTAGATGATATAGTATATTGCATCAAAAGTTGGGCTACTCAGACCAGTGCTGCTGGTTACTTGAAATGTTTGTCTTGTAAATAACGATCTCAAAAATTTGTTATTCATATCCTTGGCAAATTCTCATTACTGGACTTGAGAACGTTGACTGGTACTTTTGTCTTTCCTACCTTTGCTTTCTTCAGCTGTCCCTGCATGTTAACTTGCTTCTGATGCAGTGATAAAACAATCGGAGAAACTACCCTGACAAAGAAAGAGGGTTTGAATTAGTGACCCTATAACGCTTCCAAAGCCCCACCTAAAGGCGTGAACTCTACCCCGTAGGATCGCGTACTGATTTGCCGGATTAGTAACCACGCCTTCAGTTTACTCAAAATAACATGTTCTTAGCGCACCAAGTTGACCTATCTGAGGTTCAGTTGATTGACTTCAATTAGGATACACATTTCAAAACAATTTTGGTTAAGATTGGGGGGGCGGTTTGCCATTCGGAGTTATGCAAGAGTACAATATTTTGTGTACTCCTGATTTCAACTGCTTTTCGTTAATCACTCTATACCTCAGATATTTGCTAAACACACTCAAACCTAATGCACTAGCTGATAAATGACTGTTAACTTTTCCTGTTGGAGACTGTGGGAGTGTAGGGTAATTTTGTGAGTGATTCAAATATGTCAGTTTACATGAATACTATCATCTAGTATCAAACTAGTCCCATGACAGTAATTTAAGCTGATACCAAGCACATGTTCAAGTGGTAGATTGAAACAAACAAAATACATATTTCCACAGGCTTCTTAGCATATCATCAGATATGCTTAAACAGGGCAGAAATTCTTGGAGTTGTTGGCCTGATCTTTTCTGTCAACCTGAAATGGCTGTATTTGAGCAATCGCCGCAAAATTCATTCCTGAATGTAGTTGTCAGTTTGAGTTGTTTAAATCGGAGGTTTCTCCTGCTGTACTTCTTGGTGAACCAGGAACAAAAGGAACAAAGCCTCGTCCACCGAAAACTGGTCTCATGAATTTATCATCAAATTTCCTCCAAAGGTGATGAACAGTTGATGTTGGATGTCTGATGAACAATTGGAGTTTACTTCGTCTTGGGGCTGATTGGTTGTTGCCATTATCTACTGGCCCTCCATTTTCCAGAGACAAGAGTCTCAGGTCTTCTAAACTTACAAAATCATTTTCCCTAGAAGTCAATGGGTTTGCATTGTTTAGTAGCACTGCTTGAATCAGAGGCTTTGTCACGGAACCAAAAACCTGTCAAAAAATGTTCCAGAAAGGAAAAAATTTGACTTACAAAAGAAAATGAACAGACTATAATATATAGTGTAGAAAAATATATATATACACTGTTTGAGCCTTCATGTTTAATGGTAAAACTTACCACTGTGCTAAATAGTACAACAATGATGATGCAAGTAATCATCATAGAGTCCACATTTGCTGATTTTGTCCCAGACGATGAGAACTGAAGTTGCAGATTGATGCTTCAATTAGATTGCAATTAAACGTACTTCTCACCACTTGATCAAGAATTCAAGAATTCATCTTATTCACCTGGTTGTAGGCTAAAGCAATAGTGACTGCACCTCTTATTAGCCCTGCCCACCATATAATGAACTGAAATGCTAAAAGGTTAGCAGGAGGAGGAGGAGAATTGCTAGTAAGAAAAAGTGTATTAACATGGTATCCAAGACATACCTGCTTCTTTATCTCAATCTCTTCACTGCCTTGTTTAGTGCAATTTAGAATGCAAGAAATAGGATAAACAAAGGCAGCTCTTCCTACCAATACGAGTGCAAACAAAGCCAAACTAACAATAATTGAAGTTCCTGCACTGAAACACAAATTAGTGAAGTCCATTGCAAAACTCACCAATGCATCTTCGACTTGAGGAAAAGAAAACAAGGTAGTAACCCTTACCTCGCATTGCTTTCTTTCCACTTTGTGATGTCCAATGCATCCATTCCCACGTAAATGAATATAAAAGTTTCTGCTATGAAAGATAGTGTGGCAAATGCGTGCCTGGAAATGTCTAGAATATCAAATGGTAATTCTCGAAGCAATTTTATTAAATCAAGTTAAAATCTGATGTCAGGATTCTTCAGAGTCATTATACTTCTAAAAGATGTTTCACTTGTTGTTTGATTCTCAAAAGCGCTCTGTGACCTAGAACCTGATCAGAAACTAGGCGGAGTGTAATGAGAGCTAAACTCAAATATGGATGATGGAAAATTTTCAAGGAGTAGATCCCAGAGATGAAACAAATAATTTGGTCTATTGCAAGTGTTTCCTCTACCAAAGAGAGAGCTGGTAATCTCTTGCATATAACACTTTTGGTTTTGTAAAAGGTCAAGAAAAGAAATTACAGAGGTTGATTTCTTGATTAAGTTATTGGCATTAAATTGTTCTAAACCTGATGCATGCTAATTTCTGCAAGACACATTGCCCCTTTAAACATTCAGTCCGATAATCATGAAGCTATATTATGCAACAAGATAGTCCCTACCAATAGAACTATGCCCATGCTTATACAACAGGGAGATCATAGAATTCAATCAGTAGTAAATTCTCACTTGGTTGTTACACGAGAGCTTTCAGTTACGTTGTGCCATGTGTAATGTGACATGACAATACCACAGAAGAAAATTGTCAGAATTCCACTTAGCGACAACAGCTGCAAGATGAGAATCACTTTCCTCAATTTTCAGGAACACAAGTACCCATGGAATTGCAATGATAATGGTTTAAACATTCCATCCTAGTTACTCTAGAAAACTATGCTGCTCTAGACGTGGAAGTGGTTTACGTTATTCTGGAAATTAGGGATGTGTATGTTCTATTACTTTTAACAATATTCTGCCATCAATCCATCTTGAAATATTATTCAGAATATTCCCCAATCATCTGGGGCATGGCATGTAAGATTCCAGAAAACAATTATAAAAAACAGTTCTGCAAGTAAGGCATATTTTATACTAGATAATGTGGGATGAAAGATGGAATAGAGAAGCATTAGGTTTTATTGGCATATGGTTAACTGAAAGATCATTTCTGCAAATAAACAGATAAAGATGTATAAAGACCATGGTAATGAAAATGATGGATCCAAAGGTAATGAAAATGACGGATCCAAAGGAAAAAAGGGGTGAAACTATCTGTGTCCGAGTTCTCTCACATAATCGAGCATCAATTAGTTGGAAAAGAAAAAGTTCTACTTTTACCTAATTTTTAATCACCATGCAGATTACTACGTGACTAAATGATCAACTCTCCAGCTAGAGGGACTCAAACTTGGGGCCTTTTAACTTCAAGTCATCCATCTTAAACCTTTTTGTCATTAAACCATTTACTTACAGCTTTTGACTTGTATATAAGTGATCAAATCATCTGTTTTGGATGAGAACTTTGAAGACATAATGTATATGAAAAAACTGGTCTTTGACCAAATCCTATTTCATGAGGAATTGGTTTCAGTGTCTCCTTTGCAACAGTAGACTAGTGACAAAAGCATCATGGAATGCACTATTAGTATAGCAAAACAAAAAAGTGGAAAACAAGTCTACAATATATGTAGAAGGGTGTGGAAACCAGTAAATATTGGTACCTCAGCCACCATATATGATAGATATGCCAAGAGCATCATGATTGCAACTTCTCTATCCGTTGAATGCCTATCAATATGAAAGAGTTATAAAGATGAGTATCATGACAGGAATGCAGTAAAATGTTGATTTGATATTGTATTGTCGCCCTTTTACTTACCTTTCCACAAGTACATCTTGATTCTAGAAAAACACAAATTGGTACCTGAATCTTTTGTTTTCTCGAGTTGTTTATGCATTGTGCTGTCATAGTCATATTCAACGTTGCTGACATAGTTTTGTGGTAATGTACTTCTAGATCCAGTAAGCTATGAACTAGTCTACTTATTTTCACACTAAAATATCAACAGAAGTAAATTGTCCAAAAACTATTTCATGCATCAGAAACAGAAGGAATTCTTGTCTAACATGTTTGTAACTGATATTCTTCTCAAGCTCCAAAAGAAGATATTTATGAACAAGGCATGGTACCAACAAAACATTACCTCCCAAAGTACAGTGTCTTTATCCCAAAAGCACTCAAGAGTCCCACCTAATATAGATGCACAGAGACCAAGTTAAACTATCAAATAGAGAAGATGAAAGATCAAGAAGTTTAGGGGAATCTTATTTTGCTTCCTTAAAGATGAGAATATGGTACAGTTATTGCTTTTCCAATTACTACTATAGTAATTTATTGTAAAAGAACAAGTTACCAATTTGCTAACTTAACACAATTTTTTGTTTCTCTGGAAGATAATATATAAACTGGCTTATACATAGTGGATCAGTTAATGTATCATCACAATCACAAGTTACATATCGCTCGAATTTATGTTTTCTGAGGGTATACTTACAGCAATACCCAGAATAGTACTCGTGAAGAAGAGGTATAAGAAGTTTCCCAGCAACTTTAATGCTGTCAAGCCATCAATATCACTGATGTCAATTGACTGGACTGCGTTGAAAAGTACAATGGAGGTTGCATCATTCACCACCCCCTCACCAAAGACAGCACTGTAAAGGAAGGGTGTTTGCTCTTGACTGAGGACCTTTTGCATGGTGTGTGGCGAGAATTAGTGGAAATTGTAACATCTTCAAACGTGACAGGTTTATGATCAATAGCTGAAAGTATGTAAATGTACCTGCAATGTACATACTGAATCTGTTGCCGACAATATTGCACCAATAGCTGCAGCATAAAATGCCTGGTTAGTGAATACCTGAATATAGATGGCCTTTGATGAAATCTTTATTTGTCTGTTTTTGTTACCTAGACAATCTTTCATAGTCAAGGATGTTATACCAATCTTTTTAAACAGTAGAAAGGCACCTGCAAATTATCACGAACAAATAAAGTTAGTATATTTCTATTTGTTGAGGAATTAAATCCAATTCCTGAACATATATTGCTATTTCCAAAGTAAAATCTGCATTTTAAATATGAAGCTGAATTAAAGTCTTGATACAAAGTCAAAAGGTGTTTGCTCTTCTGCACTTCAACTTCAAAGGACAAGAGGTACTATTAGAATCTATGCCAGTTTCAAGCAGCATTATTGTGATTTAGAATATGTGCAGAAGGAAAATATTTAACTAGCATTATTCCCGAAAAAAAAATTTTTTTTTGAGCTTTCACATAGGATGACCATGTTTTTTATTTTGTTGTATTAAGAGCTCATTCATGAAAGAAAAGCAACTCAATCATTGTAGCAAGGCTACTAGAAAAGAAGATAGTTTTTAGAAGTGGCAGCAAAGAGGAAATTTCATGCAAAACAATTTATTTTATATTTTTCTTTTAACTTCTGTTTGATAGCAAGTGATTGGCATTGCATATTATGAAACACAAAGTACTTTAAAAGAACTGGTGTGAGTTTTGGTCCAGAAATCAATGCTGTACTTGGATTGAAGTTCATGGAATGGTGAAATTTTCTTTTGATAGCGCTTTTCAGTTTCAATTATTAGATTAGTAGGTACTAACCTTGATCAATTTGGTAAACTACTTGAATTTGGAAAGCAAGAAACAGTAGAAACAGCAATAGAGACTAGATGTTACCCAGAGTTATAAGGCAGAAAGATATGATTGTTCCGAATATCCCAAACAACAATATCACCGAGAAATTTTTGAAAAATCGTTTTTTCTTGACCTGGAAACTGCAAACATTTCAAAGTTGGAAAAGTTAGATACAGGAGTCATCGCGGCCGCTTAATTCAAATATTTCTGGCTAAGAATTAGACTATGTCCTTGATATTTAAAACATGAACGGTTCTACTGCTGCAATTTCAAAAGCTTAACCAGACTTCAACCAAAACAACCTAATCTTAAACAGCAAAATGATGGATGGATAAGGCTCTTACCCAGCATTGAAAATGATTGGGGGCAACAGATATATGAAGAATAAATCCTCATTGAAAACCAACACTTGTGAACTTTGGCCTTTTCTGACAAGCAATACCACAGCTCCAGAAGCCAATCCCTATACATGAAAACTCGGTCTAAGTTCGTATATACTATAATAATGAAGACTCGAATCACATTGGAATCCATTGAAATTTAGCTTAAAAAAACTTAAAAAAGATAAAACTAGACTGGCTTTTACTAACCAGCAGAAGGGCAGCTATTGATTCATTAGCCCATCGATTCTCTTCCACCAGGTGACCGATTACTATGCATGCACAGAGGAGAGCCACAAATACAGTAACAGCTATAACAGTTGGTTGGTCAAGTATGGCGTTGGCCATGGAAGATAAAGTTTGCACCATGCTGGACATGGAGGTTGTCTGGGGCTTCACAGTGTAGTATTCAACTAAACTTAGCTATTTCTATGATCTAAACTACTGTTGACTGCTTATATGCGAAAAGAACTGGTGATCATTAATTTTTGTGCATAAAAACTACGGTCACTTATCAGGAAATTAAGCAAAGGTACGATGAAACTTTTTTTTTTGTTGAAGCAAAGGAACGATGAAACTTGATTTCAGAAGAGTTTGGAAGGAGGGAAGACTGGTAGTTGAAGGTTGCATTGTCTTATTGTTAGGAAAAAAAAAAAGAACTGTCCGTCACTGGTAAGATTTTTCTACAGCTTCTGAATCACATTTTTCTTAAGGATCTGTCAATTAGTGCATTTAATGGGGCTTCATTTTCAGGCAAGTGATAACAAGTTGGTAGGGCTGTTAGTTGGCTCTCACACATTTTTTTGATGATTTTCACTTGCTTATGACAAGAGGGGCATCTGATTTAGTCTGAAATGGTCTACAATGATCTTGGAAAGAAAAATTATGATAGTGTTTGATAAATTCAAACCATGTAATTTCTACGCTTAGCTTGATATTCTACATTTAGTCCAACCTAATTTGTTGAGAGTGGTGCAGGCAACATCAAGCCATCTACCTTTCCTGAAGTGTCAAATTTGATGGCATAGGTAAAAATATTGCCAAAAAGGCAGAAACCGAAGTGGTTACTTACACTTCCCTGCACAATGCAAGGGATAGCTATGAAATCCATGCAAATGATTTATCCCCTGATGATCAAGAATTAACACTTACCATGGATTTTTGCAAGGAAATATTAACAACCACAATCTCAATGGAATATAGAAACAGAACTACCCCAAAAGGGAACATAGACAAATCAAAAACTCGATACTTGACAATAAGACCACGGCTCTATCTGTACTAGATACTGACACAGTAGGTCTTATTTCGGAGAAGAAATTGCAAACTTTCTTGACTTTTCAGCTAGGAAAGGAACTCCACTGTAGGATTGGGAATTTGAACACGATAAGGTAATTTGGTTATCAGCTATCACGCTCCACACCAAAGACTTGTGTTTCAATTGTCACTGAATCAAGCTTGTCCTTCTTAATCAGTCTTGAAGATTAGCATAAGATAACTGATGATTGAATCTTGGGAATACAATTTGATAACGAGACTCAAATTTATGCTTGTCTTGGGTGGAAAAAATGTAGTGCTTATCAAAATGTTATGTTTGACAAGATAATGTTAATGCGAATGCTTCATCAGCTAGAACTGTCATGTGATGATGAGAATAGAGATTTTTCACAATGATAGATTAGTTCAAAATGCCACAAGATTTAAGGAGATGAGACTAGCAATTTTGCACTAACCAAACCATCTTTTGCTAGGGAAAATGGAAATTTCTATTGATACGCAACAAAGGACCTAACTGGCAAGGTTCAACAAACGCTCCACGGTTCAAAAAGGAATTGAAATAAGTCAAGTGACAGTCTATGTTTAAATTTTTATGAAGACATCAAACTTTGTGTATGAACTAATAAGTAGGATAGGAAGAAAATTAGGGGGAAATAGTGGAGTTTCCAACTTCATCTAACACAATAAGATTTCATACCATTTTTTTTTTCTTATATAGACCAGGTTTACCAATAGGCCGTCTCAAACAAATTTGATCCCACACTGGCGAGTCCTGCTTGGTCGTGAGATAGTCTACTGGTAGACCTACTTCATATTTTGTACGAGCATTAAGCATGTAATTCACTCCTCTGTCAGCTTAAGCTGAATAGTATAGTTTCCAAAATGAGAAAGAAATCAATGTAATGATTAAGGATCTATCTTCAACACTCCCCCTCTCGTCTGTCTTTCAATAAGCTAACTCCAATTAAAGGCAACGTGCAAAACCTGTGATGGGTTCAAACCTTGGTAATAACAGTGAGAAGAAAACAAGAAAAGCAGCAGCCTGATGCAAAAACCTTCTCAGGATTCATCTAACATCAGAGAGTTCAGGTCGTGTGCAGTAATGCTGAGTTAAAGAGGACAAATGTACAGTATCGCATGATTGAGTTATATATATATGAAATATTTATTTATAACGTAATAACATGCCTGAGTCTTAGACAGATTCTTATGCACGTCAAAGATTCAAACATGATTTTACAGCCACTCCAAAAAAAATATTAAGATAAACAAGCCTTTGGGGAAGAAGAAATTAATGAAATGGCAGGTTTTTTGCTAATAATACAGTGGTTTGTTTGGTCTCCTTCACCAATGTCCGCACAAATTTTAGAAAGATCCACCCTTGACTCCTAAAAGAAGCAAACAAAACAACCAATGAAGATGAAAATTTGAAGTCATGAAAAGTTGATTACATGTCTTGGAGCTGACAAGATATAACAACTAGCCTACTAAGAAAAATCTCAGCACCCAAAAAGGAATGGACCAATCATTCTCAGCTTCCTGTTTGAAACTACTACAAACAAAAATTTAGGCCCCTTTCCAGCTTAAGTAAATCTCTTGCCATATGCATACAACACATGTATATATCTCTGCTCCTATATGCTGCTATGGCAAAGAAGAAAGTTTTTGCCTATACCATGCATCCTCAGCAGATATTATTCATAATGCCTATTACTGAAAAGGCTTGAGATAACTGATGACAGTGTCAGTATTTACTTTTAGCTGTTATCTGTAGCATCTTCTTTGTCCTAGTCAAAAGGAAACTCGGTTTATGAAATCTTAGCACCAGATTATAGGCTATAAGACTGTCAACGAGACAGCAGCAGAACGAAGCTTCACACCGTCATCATTCCACTTGTACTGTGGTGCAGTAGCTCCAGCAATAATGGCCTAAAACATTTAAAGCAGACAAGAATATTGATGAAACAAATGCACACCAAATAAGTCAAAAAAGTTAGTTAAGAAGAGAAACATAAATTCAAGATTACAGGATAATTTAATTCATTTAGGAAATTGTTGAATCCAGTGATCTGCAAGCAATAGTGAGAGATGAAATTACAAAAGTGTACTAACCAGCAGAATGAGCACTCTAATTTTTCAGGACAAAAAGAATCAAAGCTATTTAAGAGAATCGAAGCAACATACTTTTCCACTATTTACAGCAGCTACAAGTGCAACATGTTGCTCATCTCTACCAAACTCATAGAAGTAGTAAGTCCTGAAATGCAAATATTATGGAAAGATATAAGGACACAGTTATACTTAAATTGCAGGAATAACAGTAATGAGAGGTGGTTTTCCTGTAAAGATATTGAAGTCAAGAAAGCTTTCTAGTCTGAAAGTGCAGGGAAGAAAGAAAAACAGGGTACTTCTATGGTTGACAAAAATCCAAATTTTCCATTTACACCTTTTAAAGCTTAATGTTTTTCTCTCGTATAGTATTTAGAATCCATTCATAAACAAGATAGCAATGTGTACTGATATGCTTTAAGAAACCTGTTCTTACCTAAATCCTTCATCCTCCTTTATTTTTATTGTGCGGGCAGAATAAAGGGTTGCTCCACCTGCCAGGCCATGTTCGGAATTGAAATATCAACACCAAAAAACAGACAAATCACTTCTGAAAATGAAAGAAAGATCTGAGGGGTAGACCATGAATTATCTTGATGGATGGAATGATGTTCAGGCCTTTGCTCGAAAGTAAAAAGCAGGTAAATCAACTAATACCAAAATACCTGGAACAAATATTTTAGCTGCCTCCTTTATGGAGCCTAAATCAGTAACATCTTTGGCCTGCTCAAAAAATTATAAGAAGCCAATTGTAAATTTAGTAACAGGACTGCACAATCTGTTCCCTTTCCAAAAAGGTTTTTTGCATATGCACAAAAAATGAAAAACGGAAATAGCTAATGACATGAGTTATTTACACCAATATTGCTTTTCATATCAAAGTCAAGCAACCATTGCTGGTTTTGATTGATTTCTGTAAAATAGAAATCGATTTGTCAAAAATCAGCTTTAAAGTTAATTTATAAGAAAGCAACTTCTGTTTTCCTCCTCATGATTACTTTTCTTCTTTCCGTTTGCAGTTCACACCCAACACCTTAATTCCTCTTCCTCCACACCTCAAAAGTACAACCACAAATATTGATGGACCTTACTTCAGTCTTGATTGCAGTAATTTCCCATCTACAGCCAACAGAAGCTGCGATACAAGCTTTATTGCCTACAAGTATGCTGTCGAAGTCCAGCTGCATAAGCCTTGGATGTTTGCTACCATTATGTTGTCAAATTGCAGCTGCAAATAAGCAGGCAAAAGCTATCCAACTTCTCACCACCTCCCCATGACATTCCAATTACTTTCTTTAGATCAGTCATTCACCTTAGTCATCAAGTGGTAGCAGCTAGAAATTGAAAACTTTGTATGGGTCTTTGAAGCTGTAGAAAGGAACTCATACGTATACTGCTTCAAGTTCCAGCTTTATAAAAAGGAACTCAGAAATCATATACTTATTTGACACTGAACACCTGCTAGTCATATAGCATAACTTAGGATCACTAGCTAGAAAAACTAAACAACTAATCCACAGAAACTAAATTGTCTTGGGGAGCTGGGAGGAAGTTGGCTGGATATAATTTGGAATTTACAACTGTATTTTGACTGAAGAATTGTAGCAAACTTTCAAGGCTTTTGCAGCTGTATTTTCACAGCACACTTGCAGCAAACTGCCAAGTATTCTACCAACATGCAGGCACTATTTGATCAGCCACTTGTCCGTCTCTTACAGTAACAGTATCTTACTTCATTCACATCTGACACTTGGTCTGTCTATTTTTCTCCTTCGTTTGACTACTCATTTGTTTCCTTCTGAAAACATGTAAAATGCTCAAGACCTTGGTTTATTGTGTTGGTGTCATGCAAATACTCATACTGGTCCATGTGTATTTGGTTATGTCACCCTGTGTGCGTCTTGTGAATTGCAAAAGGAAAAAAAAAAAAAAAGAAAGAAAACAAGAAAAGGGGAAAAAAGGAAGTCAATTCCTCTCCAAAATCGACTTTCAAGTTGATATTTGAAAAATCAATTTTTATATCTAAGGGAACCAAATAAAAGCATCATTATTTCTTTAATTTGGAATAGAATTTGTAATAATAGTGTATGTAAGCCCAAATAAATCATATTAAAAAAATATTATCAGAATATTCAGTTTTAAACTATGGGTATGTCATAAACAGCATGCATAATTCTTACAGCAACTGTTTCATTTTTGCTTAAGGTGAAAGAAGCATTTTCAGATTGGTTTCTAAA